TCGCGCCCACGCACGGGCAAACTTTGCCTGCGGAAGGGCGCTTCCCGGCCCTGCGCCCCCGACTCCTGGGCCCCAGAGGTGACCCGGGTTGTAGAGAGGACGGTCTTTGGCGGCGGGAGAATGGGGAGAGCAGCTTTGAACGCAGCTCGTAAATAAATAGCGCTGCCAGTGCCTCTGCGGCAGCTTTTGCCACAGGATCTTTAAGGGGAGCTGTTCAGTGTTTGCAGCGGAGGAAGGGAGACAGTGAGACAGAGATTATGATTTAAAATAAAAAGAAACCTTACCGAAATAGATCTGCCTGCTCTCACAGACACACGCGTGTGTATTTTGGGGAGCTTCAAAGTTTAGAGTTTTTCCAAGTTTGAAAACGTTGCTTTTCAACCTTCTTGCTCGCTTTCCCCCCTCCAAACCATCCCTTTCCATTTAACCCTTTCTTTACAGTCACATACTTAGCAAGACACTCAGTTGATGTCTTCAAAACACAATAAGCTCCCCAAACTCTAAGGGTTTGAAGATGTCTGTGTGATTTTACTCTCTCAGGAAGGAGGTGAAAGAAGAGGAAAAATGAATCCCTAGCAATGTACATTGCACCAGAATGTTTCCTTTATTCCTGGGCCATCCTGGATGTTTTCCCTACTGTTCTGAAACAGAATTTCCTTATTTCTTCTCGTGTCTTTAGTGTTATGTGCGTCTGACAACAGCTGCCTTTACCCCGCTTCCCCAACTCAAACCAGTGTCACCACATGTTTGAAATGACACCTAAATGAGTCAGCTCCTTCCCTTGAATTTAAAACGCACCACCTCCACTTCCGGGCCTCCTTCCACCTTTGAAGGGGTTTCATGGCCGACTGTGTAAGCCCCAGCCTAACGCCAGCTTTACAGCACAGTAATTATTTGTATAATTATCTGTGGCTCTTTTGAAAGCAAGAAGACCTGTTCATTTTTGTCTTTTTAGCATTTAACAATATGTCTGAAGTGTATCAGGTACCTTGAGAATTAAGTAGTTTATTTAACTTGAGAATATGCTCAACCAGATGTCCCTGCAATAGTCTTAATTATCCTAGTTAAATTTTCCAAAATATCCTTTCATAATGGTTACTTTTACCTGTCCTGAAAGCCCCTTTAAAGACATTTCTAAATCAGGGTTACACATTCAAAACCTGAATTGAAGCTCATTTGAATTCCACTGCTTTGTATTTCTTTTCTTTTAAAGACTTTAAAACATTTAACATTTATTAACTCAGTTGTCCTAGATTTTAGCTTAAAGTTATGTAACTTCTTTAGGAAGGAGAAACCACAGTCACATTTTCTGGTAGGGAAAATATAATACAGAACAAGCACATGTCACTGTAGAAGAAGTCTTCCACCTAGGGAATTTTCTTTAGTTCTATCAGTAAATTATGTAGTTACAGCATTTACTGATACACTAACTCATTTAATTTCACAACCTTAATAATTTATTGGTGGCAAGACATATTTGTGTTCAACTCTAACCATCAGTATCATTGTGGGTGAAGGGAGGGCAGGGACAAGGGGAAATAATGAGAACCAAGACCTATCGTGTAAAGGTGCAAGATCCCAGTAATGAATGTAACTGTACTGTATACCTAGCATGTACCAATAAACTCAATAAAAAGAAAAAAAAATCATTGCTCCCCATTTTCATTGTAAGAACCCATTCTGTGTTCCAAATACTCTATTCATAAACATTATCAATATTGACATGAATGAGAGTCTTAGACATGAGCTCAAGTTTGACTCTCTGTCCTGCTCACTTCTGTCCATTTTGTATAAAATCAAGAGGGAGGTGAAAATAAAATTCACAGCAATATGCCCTCAGAAACGTATTTTTAATTTGATGCAGATTTATATAAGAAGATATGCCCAGTGAACTTCACAAAGAGAGAGAGAGAGAGAGAGAGAGAGAGAGAGAGAGAGAGAGAGACACTGTACCTAATTCCTGAGAGAGAGAGCATACTCATTTTTTGTGTGTCATGGATTTCTCAGTAACAGGAAACATACATGAAAGACCGGGTTTCCCAGTTTTAAAAAATGCTACTATTTATTCCTTCAGCAATACTTCAGGATGATTTTTTTGAGCCCTTGTATGGTTTAATAACATTGTCATCTGGGTTTTAATTCTTTCTGGATTACTTTGCTCCAAATGCGCTGTTTCCCTTTGACTATTGCAGCCAGACCCAGGAAAAGCTATCTGTGGTGCCTCTTGTCACCACATGAGGTCTCCATAAATCCTGACCTGGATTAGGAGGAAGTGGAATCCACTGCAGTCATCAGTCCACTCTCCTGCTATCTTGAGAAGAAATCCAGTCGCTAGATAATTTGGAAACAATTACGACACTAAAAACCTATACAATAAAAATGTCACAAATATTATATATATATATTTGTTTGTTTGTTTGTTTGTTTTTGTTTTTGTTTTTTGAGACAGAGTCTCTCTATGTAGTTGAAGCTGACCTGGAACTCACTATGTAGCCCAGGCTGGTCTCAAACTCACAGCAATCCTCCTGCCTTAACCTCCCAAGTGCTAAGATTACAGGTGTGCACCATCATGCCCGGCCACAAATTATATTTTTAATAAAAGTTCGCAAAGTTAGAGTACATAGGAAAGAGTACATAGAAAAAGCACAGGGAACTTGTGAGAAAAGGTAACTATAAGGGGAAATTATAGTCTATAGTTAAAGTTAGGTGACAGTAATAACATTGACCAAATTCATAATCTTTACATGTCTTCATGCTAGTTTCCAACTTTTTCATATTTTTATCAAATGTGGATATGAAACCCCAGTATCCCAGAGATTAAGATTGAACTAAAATTTGTTTCATGACCATGAAGCACAAAACACTCTGATAGGATTAGAGCCACAGGGCAATTCCAGAGAGTTACAGCTTTGCTCTCTCCTGTGTCAGAGGCCACTGGTCTACAACCAGGTCACAGCCGTTTAAAGGGCAGAGCCAGGGACAGAACCTGAGCTCCCTGACCTCCACTCCCAATTAGTCTTCCTCACCCCAAGGGTAGCTGCAGATCCTCTGGAATTCCTGCTGGATCAAGGACTCTGTAGTTTTTCAGGAGCTACCATCCTCCTACCAGATGTTTGTATCTCTGCACACGCTGTTATGGTCAGAGCAAGCAAGCAGTGCAGAGTCAGCTTCCCACAGCCCCAGAATTCCAAGGGCACAGAAACCTGCTGGGACGAAAAGCTTAAGCTTGGAAAAACTTCTCCAGACCATTGGTTCTCAGAGCGTATGGTCCCAGCACCCAGCTAAGAATTTCCAGGGGCAAAAGTCGGAAATGCAAATTATCTGTCCTTCAGAATCAAACATGGGGATGGGGGATGGAGGCCAGAAGCCTGTATT